GCCGTATTTCCGTCTGGGGCTGGCCTGGTGCTCATGGGCAGCACGAGGAAGGCAGTTCTGTGCTTTGTATCGCCAGCACTGCTGCGCCGGAACGTGACTGCAGGGAGGTGACGGCTAATTGCTGCAGCGAGTCAAGGACTGTTTAAGCAGCTAATTAATTCCTCCTAATCAGCCCTTGATCTGTTGAAAACTGCATGGCATTATCTCCTCTGCTGCAACACCTTGATAATTCCTGTCTGAATGGCCTTCACGGAGAACATATTTAAATAAACTCAATAGAGATTTCAGACAGATAGCAACTATAATTACCAGCTTGTACAAATTAAAACCGTGGTTTGTTCTGTTCTTTTTCTCCTGCCTTTGCTGCCCAGAGCTTCTACTAATCATGTTCCTGCTGCCAGTGGCACGCCAGTCCCCCGGGCATTTTCTGCACATGCCTTCGGAAAGCTCGTGCCGGTGCCTGGTCCGGGGTGTGCTGATGTTTCGGATGAGCCTGCACATGGGCACATGCCAGCCTTGGCTGGTGTTTTTCCTGTGCCGGGGGCTCACTGCCATGCAGGGGAGCTGCAGGAGCAGCCCCCACACGCCCCTCGGGATTGCCATGCACTATCCTCCCCAGGACCAGTCCTGCAGTTCCCCCCCCACCGTCTCTCCTAAGGTTTGCAACCTCCTGGAAATATAGAGTTTTTCTCACCTAGGAGGGGCACAAGCACTCAGACATTGGCCTTGAGTGGCCACAGGAGCCCAGGCTGGAGCTTTCAGTCATGGTGTTCAACTGTAGGTGCTTCCCTACATCACTTTGGCAATGGATTGCCTGCACTGAGTGCTGCTGGCTGCAGCAGGGCTTGAGCACACTTTATTAGGAGGGGTAAGGTCAGGCCACACTCATTTCCTTCACAGTCACTTGGGACAGCCAGAAGGGCTGGCTCCTCTGGCATTTGGCAAAGGTCAGCCAGCCCTGGTGCTCACGTTTCCATTCCAGCTCGCTCTGCTTCCCTGCCTGCTCCTGGGAGCACCAGAGCCACGGTCTGGGTGCTCAGGTCTATCTTTTAGGTAAATGTAATAGCTGCGAGGAGGGTGGTTTTTCAGCATCCAAGCATTGGATAGCAGAGAGAAGAGAATGTTGCTATGCTTTAATGAGGCATTACAGCAAATCAGAAAGCAAAAATGGATTTTTCGTAACAGGAAGAGGTCGGTGCGTCTGGTCCCCGTAGGTGAAATAAGGGTAGTATCAAGTTTCCTGCCCATTCAGCGGGTTGCAAGCCAACTGGGGCACATCTTCCCCTGTGGGAGGTGCTCTCTGACCCATACTTGGATGATGAATATATTTATGCCAACGATTTGACCAGGGCTGGAGCATCCCTAGAAGTGCGCAGAGCATCTCCCCAGGTAGACCCAGGATTTTGCAGGATGTGGACACATCCCCTCTACCCTGCTCCTGGGAGAGCTGAGAAGCAGGCACTGGCCTTAACCCTTCAGTGCTTCAGTTTTCCTTGGTTGAAGGGAGCTGCTAATCCATCCCAGCCTCCCAGCAAGGCTAAATTCACTAGCTCCTGCTCGGTTTTCTTCAGGTGCCATGGCGATAGGGCAGTGTGAGGACATAAAATGACTGATTTGCATCGAGATGCAAAATGTCCCTTTGTCCTGAGCCTTTGGGTTATCTGGTTTCATTGCCCATTTCTGGGGCGAGCCAGATATAGCAGTGGAATCACATGGAAGAGCACAAAGGCTCTAATTCAGAGCTGGGACTGAGCAATTAAAATGTAGTGTGTTCCAAAGCCAGGTTCCCTGGATGGCAGACAGAAAGAATCAATTTCCTTCAAACAAATACTAAATATTAATGAGAGGCCGTGGTCTGCCATCCACACGGAGCTGGAAAGAGCATTTCCCGTTGATCACTGCAGAGGCAGGTTTATGGGATGAAATTGCTTCTCGAGTGGTTATTTGTGGCCTTTCCCGAGGTACCTCGGGATGGTTTGCCAGCCCGAAAAAAAAGAAAAGGAAACTCAGAGCATTTCCATTTTCCATCCAGGCAGGCACTGGGAATGCGTGCTGGAGCTTTCATTTTTGTTTACGCACTTGCCCGGGTGGTTGGGGAGATGGCTGGGATTGGTTACATAGAAATCAGCCCTGAATTTACGTCTAGAAGGAAGCAATTCCCTGGGAACATCAGCCAGCTGAGCCTGCCCCCGGAATGGCCTGCCAAAGGCAGAACATGGGACCCAAGAGCATCCCCAGCTTTGCAGCCACATCCGCTCACTGATTTATTTCAATAATGAGCATTGGGGGAAACATTAAAAAAATGACTTACGGCACTCACCAAGTATCCTAAAGTGAAAGCAGAGGGCTGGGAGCTTTGGAAAAGGAATTTTTTTCTATTGCTTTGACCCTTGGGTAAGTCAGGAAACCTTGTATTAACTCCATTTCCAAACTTGGAAGAAAAATGAAAAGGCTTCTCTCCCTACCTCTCCAGGACACTCCAGCTGTGGTGTGGGACTTTTCTCCCCAGTGCCGTGCTCACCCATGGGCAGCACAGTGCCAGCCTTGGCTGGGAGGGCAAAGAGCACAGCGGGAATGGTCTCAGCCCTGCTCTGTCCCACACACAGCCATGGAAGCTGCTGGAAGCATTTTGCATCCGTCACGCAGTAAATAATAACATGTCTGCTCATGATTTTATAAAACCATTAAGGCAGCTGCGTAGCCATGGGTCGATCGGGAGCTAATATTAGCTCGAAATGACTAAAATTAGAAAATTAGAACCAAGCCAGAACTAATTAGTTGTTCAGGGAATAGAACCAGAACCGGAACTAATTAATTGCCACTGAAATATCGCCGCGGGGCCCAGTGGGTGCCGCCGCTTCCAGCTCCGCACCAGCTTTGCTTGGGATGACTCCTGTGTGGGCTCGGAAAGGAGCCCAGAGTCCCATCTGAAGGCTGTGACAGCTAAATAAGAGTTGGCGGCTCAGTCCCAGCTGTGTGATGCAGCACAGACTGGGCTGTGCTGGGAGCAATCCCATCGCAGCCGAGGCAGCTGCTGCCGGAAGGGCTCGGAAAAGCGTCCCCTCGCCCTGGCTGCCCAGATGTGCCTTTCTAAAGGTGAGGGTAATTACAGTGCCCACCTCGAGGGCTCCCGGCAGCACACAAGCTCTTCCCTCCGATCCCAGCGGCTCTGCCTTCTCCTTCAGCTCCAGCTCTGCCGCCACTGTGATGCTCTGCAAAGCTCTCTTGAGTGAGCCAGGAGCTGCCATCCATGCAAACGCTGCCAGAATAATTTCCAGGGAATTAGGAAGTTGGTACAGATAACTGGCACGTGGCTGCATTTTTCCATCTGTGACTCCCATCACCTGCATGGTCACTTCTTTTTACTTTCCAAAGGTGGTAACTCACCCTGTATTTCTTTTTCCTACTCTCTCAGCGCTCAAACAGCAGCTCCGATTTTAGCAGCAGCATGACGCACGGTGTTTTAAATTCAATTTAGAATACAAACTATTTATACCAGCCAGAAAAAGGCAGTGAAGCAGCTCTCTCTGTCATGAGTGGATTTGTAATTTCGGAGCAATCATTGCATAACTAATTGAATCAGCTCTCAGCATGTGAAATCAGTGCCCTGCTTATCAGAGGTTTTCATCGTTCCCCCCTCTTGAAGCCATCAGTCCCCCTCCACCAGCAGCACTTTGTGCTTCTGCAGCAGCCTGGGAAGAAAGCAAGACCTGCAAAGCTGCCTTTTTCTGCTCAAATTGAGCCAATAAATTACCAAATACGTTCAGAGTAGATGAAGAGCTGGGTTGCAGGTGGCCCCAAAAGCTGCCCAGGCTCCATGCGAGGGAGTGAAGTACATTTGAAACTAATCAAGTGCCAACTGTGTCTGAGAAGCAAATTGGTGCTGAGATGTTCTGCTGACTCCCACTTCCTGCTTCGTTGCCCAGGTGTGCTCTCCTTGGCTGGAATTTTGGGTGTGATGTCTGATCCAAACCTCCGGCTTGGCACCTGAAAATGGAGCCTAAGAGGGGCGATAAATATAGCGACAGCTTTCCAAGGGGTACAGGAAAGGCAGAGAGCAAAGTATTTGTAAGGATTTTTATCAGCTGGGAGTGCAGGGCCTGGATTTGGTGGCTGGGGTGGATCTGGTCCTGCGGATTTTGGGAGCAGCTCCAGCCACCTGCATGCAGGAACCTCCTGGGGTTAGAGGGCAATTCCTCATCTGTGGGGCGGTTTGGGCAGGGGCCCATCAGCATCTGCAGAAAACAGAGCTGAACCTTACAGCCAGGGAAAAGTGTGCTGTAAGGGATGTTAATGCCTCCTCAGGGATGCTGCCTGTGTACATGTGGGTCCCAGGGTGTCACTGCTGCACTGAGATGGGTGAGGAGGGCAGATGAGCCCTAATGGCTACAATTGCTGAGTGCTAATGAAGGCCAGGCTGGTTCAGCTGGTACAAATGGAAGCAGTTCTCTGGGCAAGGCTAGCAGATCTTATCTTGGGCAAACTTGAGGGAACGCTTGCAAATTTTCTGGATGTGCACAGTGAAGGGTTCTTCCCGGGGTCAGGTGTGATCCCTGAGACCAAGACTGGACATAGGAGGTGATACGTCCCAGAAAATGAGAGCTGGGTGTCCCTGTGGTGCATCTCCTCAGGGATCTGTTTTCCTTCTTAGCAATGCTCTCAGCCTTGTTGAATGCCAAGCGTCATATTCCCCAAAACTAATGTGTAGGGTGGTTTTTTTGATTTTTTTCCATCAGCCCAGGCCTTGATGCTGCTGGCTGACCTGGTGTACAAGGGCATATGCAATGCAAGGAGGGTCTGGCATGGGTAGGAGAAGGAGCTTTCATCCCCAGGCTTGGCTCAAGGCATGTCCCATCAGTGGCCTCCACTTGCGTCTTGCACAAAGCCACACAGACAAAGTGTCCCCAGCATGTGAGGCCAAGGCTGTGGGATTTGGGCTCCTGGGGCAGCATGTGCCAGGCATCCCCAACCACCCACTTTGTTTTCTGTTGTCCCTCCAGGTGGCCAGATTGGAGCACAAAACACGAGTGTTCAGCCGAGTCTTCGGCTCTGCACATGCTGCCTGTTACTGCCTGGGCGCCGTGATCCTGCTGCTGAACTGTGTGCGGAGCCACTGGTAAGGAGCTCACCCTACTGACGTGTATCCATGGAAAGAAATGCCCCTATAGAGTGGGGGGGATGAGGGATATTTGCTCTGCAGTGCTGAATCCAGCCCCAGTGCATTGCTCTTCCATGGCTGGATAACTCCAGCCAGCAGCAGATTTATTCCAGGGTTTGTAATAAAGACAAGGGATACGGCAGGATGGCCAAACCCATCAGTTTCACCAGCCATTGAGTGTCACAGGTTTCCTTGCTCTGCTCCCTGGGGATGTTTCCTCTCCCCTGTGAGCAACCCAGGTGACAGGAGGGCTGTTTGCACAGGATGGATCATATGTAACAGCAGGATTTTTTAATTTTCTCATAAAAATCATAAACAAAATTAAAGCTGCTTTTAAGAAGCCGCAGTTTCCTGTGCAGAAGAGCAGGATTACCTGTGCACTTAGCAAACAGTCTCTTGAAACTCTTATCTACCATCTCTAAACACTACCTGGGCTTGCTAATAGTATTGTATGGCTGATACACCGTACACTGTGGGAATACGTCCTTTAGCATTCCCAGTGCAGCAGAGAGGTTTTACTGCAGAAGATTTCCTCAATGCCAGCAATTTATCTGTGATCTGGTAGGCTTTATCTTCACTGCTGTTAGTCGAGACAGACTCACTAAATTCCCAGATTCAATTATACCAGGGTCAGAGCTAATGGGTTGTTTAGTACTCTGGGTAATTTCCCAGGCGTAGAGATCTCTGGTTGGAATTTGCACATGTATTTAAGAGCTATGCCTTCCTGGAAATGACACCAGGACCTGCCCTTGCCCTTCTGTGTTTGTCCCAGCTACTGCTGATTGCAGAAACTGTAAGAAAGCTTGCAGTGAACAGGTCTGTAATCGAATGCAGGCAATTCAGAGGGCATGTGTGTGTGCTGCTGATGTCTCAGTGACACAGAGAGCTTGGATTTCGCTGGGGAATGTCTCAACAGTCTCTTGCACAAATTACATAGTCATTTGTTGTCTGGGAAGCAGTGCAAAGCCTTGTCCCTGCCTTTAATTAAAAACATGGGTGATGGAAGGACAGTCTCCATTCCTGCTGGCTCCTGGGTCAGTGAGGCTCACTGGGTCACTGACAAGACACTGACTGGGAACTGCTGGGAGAGCCAAAGGGGCCTCATCTGTCCCAGCACTATGTCCCACATTCCCCCTGTAGAGCCCTCAGAGCCCCACCAGGGCTGGCATCACTGGCTCTGCTCTGTCATGAGCCTGTAGACTCACTGAGTTTGGCTCTGCCTGCACAGCACAGCAGCTGGGCCCTGAAGAAACAACAAGATCAATTCAGGGGGCTGGAAAAGCCCCATCTGGACCTTAGTTTTGGAGGAGAAAAGATGGGGCAGCTCACCCCTAGCAGAACACAGATGAGATGCCAGCCCACCACAATGGGCCAAAGCCTTTCACATGACTGCAATGGGAAGTTGATTTTGCCCAGATGTTTCGACGTGGTTGGGTTATTCTCTCACCTTTTCTTGTCACTGAAATTGGCCTGAGTGACGGCTAGCAGGCTTTGGAGGCTGTTCAAGCAAGGCAAGGTCTTAACTGTGGGAGTAATGGGACAGTTTCAGGGGGATCATCAGAGCAGCAACTGCTAGAGTTATCCCAAAACACACCTGGGAGACTTGCTGCCTTCATTCCCAGCCCAGCGAGCCCTCCAAGGCTTACTGCTCAAGCCTGGAGAGCTTTTGCTTCCTGGGAAGGATTCATCCTGCCCCTTGCCCTTGCATGAAGATACCAGCCAGGTGCAAAGTGGGGTTCAGCTCACCAGAGGGGCTTTGCACCACACGGGCACCGTCATCTCAGCGGCCAGGGACGCTGCAAGGGACGCGTCTCTTGCTGTTTTGTTTTTCCCTTCATTTTATTCTCTGAGTCACTTGTACTGGGTGTGCTGGTGGGAGCAGGTTTGCTGCTCCTCAGCCCCATGGAAGCTGTGCTTGGCATAATGGTCGGGATTGCTCGTGCAGAGCATGCAGGCTGCTGATAGAGAGCAAAAAGGCAGGCTGCTGATAGAGAGCAAAAAGGCAGCCTCGGGGGTCCCTCCACCCCCAGTGCTGTAATCCAGCCTTTAAAACTCCTCTCTGCCTCCTCTGGGGACTTGTTACGTGGGTGGGGGCTGCCAGGGAGTGATGAGGAGCCCAGGGGATGTCTCTTTTGGTTTTAAAAACCTGCTTCCTTTTCGCAACTGAATTTTTGAAAGGCTCCAGGCTGGGGGCTGAGGAGGGGAGGGCAGAGCAGACAGAAACTTCGGGAGTGGGTTGGAATTTCGACTGACAGCGCCCGGGAGCTGGGCTGTGCGGCTGCTTCACCACCCACCCCACGCGGGGTCTGTGCCATGGTCCTGTCTGCAGCTGGACATGATGCTCTCATGCCAGCTTGGCTCCAAAGGGATACCTTGTGTGTAAGAGGGATGTCTTTGTGCTCAGTTAAGCAATTAGGTGCTTCCCAGCTCTGAGCTTCATTATCAGCTTGCAGTCTTGGCTTGCAATTTGGAGTGACCTGTGACCAGGTGGGACCTGCCTAGTCAAGTGCACAAGACAAGCATCCTTAATTGCGTTGGTGCAATGATCATTTTCATTACAGCCTTTTCTTTCTGCAAGAAGCAGGGAACTTCCATCTCTGAGACTCTTATCTGTGAAAACAATTCCTGAACTTCTGAACCATCTGCACCACGTGCGCTGGCCCGGCGGTTTGTGACTGTTATCTGCGTGACATGGGACGTGACAACCTTCACTGTCCTCCAGACTTGCATCCAGTGTCAGTCTCTCTTCCCTCACCACCTTGTTGATATCTTTCCCTGCATCAGCTCTGCAATTAGTTGCCGGTGCTGCTTCTGAGCCCTTCTGTGCTGCCTTTGGCACATGTTGGCACACTGCCCACCTCAGGGCAGGTACGTGGGAACTTCTGAGCTTCAGGTCTTGGGATGTTTCCTTGAGCTTAAAGGCAGCACCCACGTGCACACCCTGAAAGGGGGTTGCAGGGCGTTGGGGTACCCAGGGCTGTGATGTCTCAGTGGGAATAAATCTCAAAGAGGCAGTGCCACTGGCAACATGCTCAGTGGTACCACGCTGCTGGTTGGCATGAAGTCCTGTACACATTGCCTCCTGTGTGGATTTCTCACTTGAAGGTGACACTTCCAGGAAAATAAATCCACCTTGGGATGGGGTTTTGCCCAGGAAAGGGGCTGTTTGTCATTGCCAGCTAGTGCCTCTCACGAATGAGCTTGCCGTAAGCAGCATCAATCCCAGAACCACGTGGCCCTGTGTGCAGAAGTGACCAAGTCTGATGATGGGAATCGAGCTTTGCCTGCTGGAGCTGATGCCCCTCCGAGCCACGCTACCAGCAATCTCTGATGGCTGTTCGGGAAAAGCCCCAGGCGGCCGACGGCACCTCCTGCCCACGGCATCCGCATGAGGAAACCAGGCAGCTGAGATGTGAGGTGGGGGGAGAAGCTGCCACAGCCCCCGACTGACCGAAATAACACACACACACCCACCAGTGCTGTCAGAAAAGCAAAGTCATTATTGGCAAAAGAAGCTGTGAAGATGATGGCTGGGCTGACAATTGCCGGTGGTATCAGCAGGACGATTTCAGTGTTGTCGAGGTTGCTGTTTTCAAATGAACAAGATCTTTTGTTGCAGTGTGTGCTGCTGGGCACTACCGGGTGGTTTTTATCCCCATTGCCTCCTTTAGCTGAGAGGAACAAAACCTCAGGTGTGGGGATGAACCGAAATCCCGCACGGTGACTGTGGCACCTTGCAGTGGTGGCTGTTGTCACTGAAATCCTGGTTGCCTGCACCACCGCTGCTTCCTTGCTGCCTGCTGGCCCCTGGCCCAATTCTGCCCCAATTGCACTTGCTAGCCCCAGTTTCCAGGATGATTTTTGGGATCATGCAAGGAAGCACTGCTGGGCTGCTCCCCGCAGCGACCCAGTTTGCTGGATGAGGTCTTTGTCCTCCTTTGCAGGAGAGGGATGACAAAATACATTTGCTGGGGGCCACTGAGAGAGGCCCCCAGCAAGACCTAAAAAGCTCAGCTTCTCTCTTAGTACAATATTTCCAGGCTTTCTTCTTCATGTGGCCTTTGGGGATGTGTTTTGGGCTTGGTTTTTTTAAGTTTTCTGGTTGAATAAATCAGCGCCTGCTTATGCAAACCTGGCTGCAGGTCCTGTCAGTGTCCCAGCCAGAGGATCTGCTGCCGATTTCCTTCGCTCCCACTTTCTTCCTGGGATCCCACCAGCATGACTTGTCCATCCCCACATTTCAGAACCATTTTGAGTGGTTTTCCAGTTCATGGGATTTATTATGTGGTAAACGGGAAGACAAGAGATTCAGACTAGATATAAGGAAGAATTCTTTTATGAGGAAATGTTTTATGGGGAAACACAGGCACAGGTTGCCCAGAGCCACTGTGGCTGCCCCATCCCTGGAAGTGTCCAAGGACAGGTTGGACAGGGCTTGGAGCAACCTGGTCTAGTGGAAGGTGTCCCTGCCCATGGCAGGGGGATGGAACTGGATGATCTTTAAGGTCCCCTCCAACCCAAACCAGTCTATGATTCCCATGGAGCAGCAATGTAGAGGCTGTGCCTGAGCAAGTGCCTCTCTGTTTTGGGAAGTGTGGGCAGAACAATGCCCGCTTCCCTGGCTGCTCCCATCCTGCCAGGAATTGGCCATATCTGCTAGTATGACCAGAGCAGAGTTGATGGATCTGGGCTTCTCCCAACTGGTGGAGAGTGTGTAGCTCTGGTGTCACGCTTCACACTGGCAAGCGTGGGGAGATGTCAGGGGATGCCCCATTTCCCCAGTTTCTCTCTTCCAAAACTGAGGGCACATTCCAGGCCCCTCCCTGGTGGCAGCCATCCTCACCACAGCAGCCAGGTCTGTGATCAAAGTAGGTCGCAGCCCCCCCGCCCCTCCCCTGCGCTGGTACGAGGGATGGATCCTCCTCACCATGGCAATCGCTCCACTCGGCACATAAAGCAATTCCAGGTACTGGGACAAAGCATGGATTTAATTGATGTCCTCTTGGGTGCTGAGCTGCGCCACTGCCTTGTTGTGCAGCCAGAAATAAATGCTGTAACAAACGTGACTTAGAGGCACATGAAGGAAGGGACTGGCAGCACAACTGGCACTCTAACAAGGGAAATGCCCAAAACCTTGTCTGTCCCTACCAGGGAGGGAGAAACATAGCCAGGGAGGCTCCCTCACCATCAAGGAGCATTTGTAGATGCTGGAATAATTGACGACTCTGTGCTGCTTGTCATGGCCCAGCACCCTAAATGCTTAAAAGGTTTATTTACCAATTCTGAAGACTCCTGAGCGCATCATGTTTAATGCAAATAGAGAGTGTGTTTAGGAAGATATAAACCATTCCTAGAGGGAAAGGCAGTCCATTATCTCCGTGCAAACACCTCCTTCTGTAGCTGTAAGCCAAACAGCAGGGAACCAAGTGAGACATGCTGATGAGAATAACTAATGCAGGCCTATCCGACCATGGAAAGGAAGGATGTGATCATCTGGAGCAGGGGAGACAGCTTTGCCAAAACAAACCATACCATGTGCTGGTTACAAAACTTCCAGTGCTGATTCTCAGTCAACCAGTTCATGCTCTTGAAGCCACTTTTGTTCCATGTTCCAAGACAGAGTCGAGTCACCAGCATCAGATAGAGGAGCCTCAAGGATGTGAGACAGTGTGAGCCCAGCTTATCCAGAGCAAGAAGCCTCCAAGGGCTGTGTTCTGACTGTGTCTCTCTGTACTCTGCCATCTCTTTGCCAGGGCCTGGGATCCAGGCAGATTCCAGCTCAGCACCTGCCTCCCCAGGGATCAGCAGCAGTGACTTTTGATTGCTCTGAGATACTTCCCAGTGCTGCTACCCTCTGGAGAGGCCCTGGTTGGATGTGGAGCCAAACCTCACTGCTGTGAAAGGCATTAGCATCCTCCTCTGTGTGACCAAAGAGCTCCAGAGCATCCCCAGGGATGTCACGGTGTGCTGTGAGTGCACAGCCAGGCCAGGATTCCTCAGGCAGACAGACACATCCCTGCAGGGGGATTGCTTTCCTCCCAAACCCAGGCAGTGCTAGTATCAGGGACATGGATTTTTTTTGGCTTCTTCTTCTTAGAGGAGACTTGTGTCATTTAAAAATAAACACTGGGGAAGTGATGCAAAGGGGTGTGCAGCTGCTGTTGCTTCACAGTGCAGCCAGATTTGTGTCTTCCCATCAAAAATGATTTTAAGCTAAGCCAGTGTGAGCCTGGTGATTGCAAGGAGCTGTGCTGGGTGCTGGAGGAGGGCCAACCTGGGGACACCATTACATCACCTGGGGCCACGTTATTGTTCTCTGCCTGTGCTTGGCTCCGTGGAAAAGGGAATTTCTCGGTAATATTCAGAGTGTAAATCACCAAGATGTGTTCTTGCTCACTCCCAGGCATGTTACATTTATTCCGTGTTTTGTTTCCTTGTTTCAGTCCAAAGCAAAGATTAAATGTCTTGTTCTGGGGTCCTAAAAACCTGTCAACAGTGGAAAGTCTAGTAGGAACAAGCTCCAAGGAGAACAAGAAATATCATCAGGTCCTTAAACCACAGAGTTTAAATATTATCCTGGACTTTCTTGGTGCTTTGAACTTACCATCATTTGAACCTTCAAAAGATTTCCAGCTGCCTTTCCATCAACCATGAAGGCAGGACTGGCTGTCTCTCTCAGTTTTTATTTGGGCAACAGAGAAAAAATCCAGGGATTTACAGTGCTTAGAGAAGAGGGACATCAGGGAAAAAAAACTATCCCAAGCCCTGCAGATAGCACCATGGAAGCATTTTCCAGCCGAGGAGCCCGGGACCGCAGGCAGGAGCAGCACTACTGGCCCGCCACTCACAGGCAGCAGTGGCCAGAGGCATGGGATAGCTGTTATTCTGCTTGAATTTCAGCCTCCAGGGTGCTCATTAAAAAAAGACTCAAAGTTTCCTACCTCATGTGTCAACAACATGTGGAGAAACACTGTGTAGAGCTCTGCGGGTCTGTTATCTCCTCTCGCTGTTATTAATGGTGTTTTTTTAATCACAGCGTTGTCTCCTTTGTCACCGTGCGTTTGTGTCGGAGCCATGTGCGATGCTGAGCCTGCCAAGCCCGGCTCTGGGCAGAGTTCAAGGGGCTGAAGGGAGGGGGTCACCGTTATTCCAATCACAAACGAGTGTTTGGAAGGTCAGACCCGAAATGCCTGAGCCAGCCTGGAACGGGGGAGCTGTGTTCGCACTTGAAAACGCCTTGTCTCTCGTATTTTCCTTTCGCCGTTCCAATCCTCCCCCTGACTGTCAGGCTGCAGCCGTGAATCACTGCTGGGCACGTGGCTAACACATGAACGCTGCAAAATATTTTGATGGAGGGGAACGGGGGTGGGAGCACGAGATAATCCAGCCGATTGTTCCCAACCCTTCGAGTCCTGTGCCGAGCCATCGCAGCCTCCGGCATTCGCAAAGGAGTCTGTCCCAGAGCTCCCAGTCACGATGAAAGCTGGGATTTGGTGAACGAGACAAAGGTGTTGATGTCACAAGTCAGGGGGGTTGGTATTTCCAGGAGTGAGCAAGGGTTGTGAGTAGAAATAGCTGCCCCAGGTCAAACCCTGGCTGCTCATAGGCTTCGGCTCCTTGCTTCTGCTGTTGGAAGGCTGAATAGGTCCAGGTGGGAAAAGGGATCCAGAGAAGGGACCTCCTCAGCAGCATTCTCTCCCAAAGCTCCATCTCTCAGGGAGAGGTGGGTCATGTTGTTAATGAGTTGCTGTTTTTAATGGCTCTTGTTGTCTCTCCAACAGCTTCACAGAAGCCATGAAGAGCCAGCCAAAGCTGGAGGGCTGGGACTGCCACTGGACCTATTACTCAGGCGTGGCCATCTCGGCTGTGGGGACCTTGTTTGTCATCTCCAGCTTCTTAGCACTGGGATTCACTGGGACATTCCTAGGTAAGCACTAAAAATCCAACAGCTTAACCAGAAAATGCATTTAATCCTTGCAGGGATCTCTTGCTAGGGCAGAGTCCCATAGGAATTCCCTTGTCCTTGCCTTCAGGGCTTTATGATGCAAAGCATGATCTAACCATGCCGTTACCTCACACGGTGCAGTGGTTTTATACAGCAAGTCCCATCACCTTCAGTGTTAAGCCTGAAAGTTTGGAGCACAGCTGATTGTCTGCCAGTCCAAACACCCTCCAGAAAAGGTGCAAGGGCAAGACCCCACAAGCAGCACCGGCACAGTGGGTGTGAACTGTCCAGCAGCCTTGCTCTGAGCACTCACCTGCTTGTCACACGTGCCAAGGCAGGATCTGATTTGCTCTTCCCTCTGCAATAAACCTGAATGTTCGTTGACAGATCCTTTTATCTGCCACTTTATGGCAGAAGGCATTTTCCACTGCGCCTGCTTTCACATTTAGAGAGTAATTCTGTTAGCGTTGTTGGCTTTAAAAACATGCCAGTATGTGTGGAATTCATAAAAATAAAGTAGAGACAGGAACAATAAATATCCAAGGAAAGGGGCAGCTCCCGCTGGCTGAAATAATCACAGCCTCAGCTCTGACACCGCATTTAGGCTGTGCTTTTGCAAGTGCTTTACAAACCAAATTCAATTAGCTCCTGTGGTGTCGCTAGGAAGAAGAGAGGGACGTAATAAGCCTTCCTGGTTTCAAGTGGAGTTGCAAAGAAATGTGTTGAGTTGGCCAAAATCCTGCTGCCAGAAATAGAGCTCAGCACTCCTGAATGCGTCCCCTCACCCTTCATGTGCAACCCTGTATCACACCCCTGTCCCTCAGCTACTGGGCACCAGCATCCTCCAAAATCACCTGCAGCCTCCCGGAGTGATGCTGTGCCTGTAGAGACATGTCCAGAGAGGCTGGGCACAGGAGCACCCGCCAGCAAGAGCTGCTTGAATGCTCCTGAAGTTCAGCCAGGTCTGGAGTTGTTTACGTAAAGCCTGATTCATCCGACCAGGAGGATCCAGTGGACTTGAACTGCTGGGAGAAAGCAAACAAGTGAGTCAAGCTCAGCGTAAGCTGTGAGAGGGGCCCTGTCCCCTGCCTCTGTGTCCCCCAGGGCAGGGAAGGGATGGGTGTTAGTTGTCCATATGGGGCATTTCTGCTCCATCCACTCTGCCAAGAAGGTTCTCCCTGGAGTGTCCCGGGCTGAGGCTGCCTGGCTCCAAGCCTTGCATGAGGCAGCAGGGACCAGCTCTGTCTACCAGCAGTGCATGGCAGGTAACAGGGCAGAGCTGAGTCAGGGTGGGGACTTCACAAGACCACATGCTAGTGCAGCCAGGCTGGCTTGGGACCTCTGTACCACGAAGGCATGGCCCAGCTGGAGCCCCACAGAACATCCATCCTTGGACCAGTAACAGCTTCCCTGTTGAGTCCATGAGTCCAAGTCAGCAAAGTCCACACCCCTCAGCGTGGTTTCTTAACCAGTCATGGGGAAGACAAGGGGTTTGCAGGTCTCTGAGGATCTCACATGGGATATTCTCTTGCTCAGGACTCACTTGAGACTGTATTTCCAACATCCTCCTGCATGCGGGATTTTAGTGCTGCACTGGCGCTGCGGGAGGAGGAAGGGTTACAGGTAGCAAAGGGCTGCACTGCTTTGGCTAGAAGGGGCATCCAGCTGCTTCTCACTATTGATAGCTGAGCTCAAGAGAAGTCTTGAGAGAACCTCTGACACGCGAGCACTTCAAAAATTACCAGAACAGGATTTGACCCTTACTTTTTCAGTTTTTCTACAGCACCGAGGGCTGAACCAGGGAGGGCACAGGGACCACATCAGGGCTGCCTGTTAGATTCCCTCTTTACAGCACATTTGAGCTTTGGAGCAGCTGCAGAACACTTTGTCTCTGAAGTGTGCGCTAAACAGTGCAGTGGGAGCGGTGTGAGTCACCCTTCTCCAGCAAGCCTTGCTGTGCCACCCCATCTCCCGAACAGCAGCACCAGCCCCAGCCTCTGTTTGCAACAGCTGGATGCAGGTCTACCTGGCAGATCCATCTCCTGGTGCCCTGTGTCTGTGCCATGCCCATGCTGGGATTTGGGCATCACTTCAGCACCCTCCACCTCGCTGTTTGCCCTATTTCCCAAAAAAACCCAGTGACAAGGACTTGGAAATCCTGAGGCCAAGGGCACAGAGAGGCAGCTCTACCTGCTTGAGCCCATCTGTTTTGTTCCCCAGTTCTGTTCCTTCCAGCACTGACCAAGAGTTCAAGTCAATCTGACTTGACCAAAGTCTGTTACTGGGCTTGGAGAAGCGGATGGTTCTCCAGAGTGAAGTGGAGGTGGGTTTTCAGCCTAGGTCAGGCTCTAGGGACCTTGGGGCACCTTGTAGAATGCACCAAATGGCTTTTTGCTGCTATGATCCCAGGTGCAGTGAGATGGTTATACAGATCTCCAGCAGAAAAAAACCCTCCAATGAGCTGCCAAGGTCCCTCAGCTTTACAAGAAGCTGATTCCTGATTTCGAGGCTTAATGGAGGCTCAGGAGATGCCGAGGCTGATGCTGCGCAAAACAACACGGAGTCCTTTCCTGTGAACATAAAAACATATAAACCACCTCTCTGGTGGTCATGCTCATTGAACTGTGCAGGTTTAGAGGCAGAGATTACATTGGAAAAACTGCCAGTGTGCTCCTGCTTGTGGGGAGCCTGCCAGGAGGGTCCCACAGCCCCACCAGTGCCGGGCACAGAGAAGCCCCTGCCAGCCCCATGGACCCAGGGCTTTGTGTGAACCTCCCCAGTGCCAGTGCCATTTGGGGAGCGAGGTGTTCAGCCAAAAGGCAAGGGCGGGCAGAGGATAATGAAGCATTTTGACACATAAAAAAGCACAGAAATGGGCTGTGGCAGGGGGTGATGTGTTCTTTCTACCAGAACAATCTCAGAGATGTATTGCCAAGTAACTGTGAGAACATATAGTATGAATACGAGGCAATTATCTCACTTAGTGGCCTGTAGTTAAAGCCCAAAAGCATTGTGTAATTGGGCAGGGGCTGTTTATCCTTAGAAATAAATGTTTTAGCACCATGTGAGGTCAAAGAAATTACACTGCGATCCAGGTAATAATAATAACCTTGAATAGTTTGCTCTCCTGTAATGCCTTTCATCTAGATTTGCGAGCACTTTCTCACCATACATTAATCCTCACCACCCTCTGTGCTCTAAGAAAGCACTGATATTATGATCGGTGCACAATAGCACCAGGAGGGACAGAGGAGACTTGCCCAAGGTCAGGGAACAGGCTGGCAGCAAAGCTGGGAACACAGCCCAGGGTGGTGGCAGCGCCCTGGGCCGATGGACTGGCACTGCTCCTCACGGATCAATGCTTGTCTTGTGCAGGGGACAAGGAACATGGAGTTGTTACAGTGGACATGGAACAGGGACCAAAAGGGCTGTCCAGCCCTGGCACAGGCTGCCCAAGGGCAGTGGTGGAATCATCATCCTCAGGGGGATTTAAAGCACTTGTAGATGTGGTGGTGCTTTGTGGTCTCACTTGTAAGACCAACACAACCAAAAATCTGCATCCTGGCCCTTTACCTACCCCCCCCACAAAATGCTGCTCACGAGCTACACATCTTCTTGCTGTCATTCCTCTTCCAAGCTCCTTTTGGGAGGGTGGAAGGATCGCTCTGAGGTAGATGGGAAGCTGGTTGGATTCTGACAGTTCTGAAAGCTTTCCTCATTACAGATGACAATCACCTATTATCATCATCATCATCGTGCTGATAATTGAGTGTTTTGTAGGCAGAGGTGCTATTTTCTGAAATTCTGAGAAATTCTCTGAACTACGAGATGAGGGTGGCACTGGATGAGGGCATTTGGTGGTGGTTGTCGTGATTATAACATCTCCAAACACCATTACAGGGCGCTGGGCTTATTTTCCCATTAAATGGATTTGATCCTATGCACTTACTTCCTCGTCGAGTGGCATGCAATGGACAGTTTTCAAATGAGAAAACCAGAATTAACCATTTTGGACCTCAAGAGCTGCCTCCTGATGAGGGATGTGGCTGCCATAACCTCACTGCAATGCAGGAACCTTCCTTATGGGCAAAGAGCCATTCCCAGAAAAGCTGATAGGCACAGAGTAAACAGGTGACTTATTTGTTGCTGTTTTCTCAGCCTGGAAGTCAGCAGTGAAACCCCTTTGCTCTGCATCCCTGACAGGGATGCCCCATGGCACAGAGAGGGTACCAGTGTTCCAAAAGCCCACCGTGACTCCCAGTTTCATGGAGACCAACCAAAAACTCTCTGTTTGCTCTTAGGTGATTACTTTGGCATCCTGATGGAGGCAAAAGTGACCAGCTTCCCCTTCAATGTCCTGGATAACCCCATGTACTGGGGCAGCACAGCCATCTACCTGGGCTGGTCCCTCATGTGAGTACATGTCCCTACAAATACCTTCTGTTGTAGGGTGAGTGTGGGGTCTGTCTTTGGCAGGGCATGAGGTGCCAGGCTGCACCAGGGGCCGAAGGGGCACTTGATGATGGCAGTCAGCAATTAAATGGCAGGGAAAGTGCAACATGCCCTGGCTTCTGGCCTCCTGGCTATTTTTGTGCGTGGAAAATCTTGTGCTGTCATAAAAGACTTGCAGCTTTAGTTGTAGAAAAACAAATAGCGGGCAAGTGCTGGGGAGAGGAGGCATCAGCAAATGCTCTGCAGCTGAACGAGTTCCTTGGCAGGCTCTGCACGTGGAAAAATCAACAGTCAGGGCCAAATTCGTGCAGGGTGTCACTCGGCAGGGGCAGGGCATTGATATGGGGAGCAGTGTGACCCTGTAATTACTCTGAAAAAAGCAAAACAAGCCAAGCCACCCTTTTCCCCCACTGCACGGTGATAACACTTCCGAAACACTTCTCGTGTGATACAACACAGCTTAATAGCCTGCTTAGGAGGAAATGAATAGGCTGTAATTTAGCAACAAATGAGCAATATACTCTATTCAGTGTAACAAGTTTGATGTGGTTTTCATTTAATATCACATTTTATTTATTTGCCCAGGAGAAAAACACCCGGCTGTGTTACTTCAGGAGCCTGTGGAGTGTTGTGGGCTGTTATCACTAGATATTTTACACTGGTGCTCCTGACTGTGACCACCTCTTTTCTACTTGGGTGGAAAAAATGAAGTGCTTTGCCACTCTCTAGTCATTTTTTCAGCCATGTGTGCAGCCCCTGGTAATAAGTAAAGCTGATGGTTTCTCTCCTGTCTCCACCGAGCTTGTTGCAGTTCGTTCTGCACTTGAAATCACCCCCGGTGCCATCAGGGCTGGTTGCATGAGGCTGTTTCCCTTCCTGGCAGAGCCACAGCGCTGGATGGGGTCTAAATCCTGGGAAATGGTGCACAAGGGCCAGAGTGAGCTCACTGCTGACAGCGCTGGGCAGGATAGTTGGCCACAGGACTGGCAGCAGCACGGTGGAAGCATGGATATTGCTGGGGAGAGTGGGACAGACCTGGGGCAGGATGACCCACCCCATACCACCCCATGACCCCCACAGCAAAGCAGAAGGAGGAATTAGACCAGGAGGAATTACAAGGAGAGTTTTATTTGTTTTAAGATCAGCAACCATCAGCTACTTCCTAGAACCTTTGCAGAATCCACGGAACCCTCCTGAGCTGTTTCTGTCGCAGAATCCCTCCTCACCCCTCTCACCAGGTGCACATTGTTTGGTCTTCCACCACAATTCTGGGCAAAAGCAGCTCTAAGCAGCTCGAGACAGCAGTGATTGCCTTCTTTTTCTCGTTAAAAGGCTGCCACCATTAAGGCCAGTGAGGCATGACAAATAATTGCTGTTAACAAATTGCTGGAGCTGTGCAAAGTGGCACCAAGACACCGCCCGCCTGCCCAGGGGAAGCTCAGCACAACCCTTCTCACGGTGGTTTTGGCTGTTTCTCTTCCCTGTGATCTCAATTCACAGAATCATGGAATCATTTAGGTTGGAAAAGCATTCTAAGATCATTGAGTCCAACCATTAACCCGGCACTGACATGTTCACCACTAAACCATGTCCCCAAGTGCCACATCTACACAGCTTTTAAATCCCTCCAGGGATGATAACTCCATCACTGCCCTGGACAGCCTGTGCCAGGGCTAGCCAGCCCTTTTGGGGAAGAAATTTTTCCTAACATCCAATCTAAACCTGCCCTGGCACAACTTGAGGCCATTTGCCCTTGTCACTTCTTCCGCGGGAGCAAAGACCAACCCCCACCTGGCTCCACTCACCTGTCAGGGAGTTGGAGAGAGTGAGAAGGTCCCCCCTGAGCCTCCTTTTCTCCAGGCTGAGCCCCCCCAGCTCCCTCAGCCACTCCTGGTGCTCCAGACCCTTCCCCAGCTCCATTTTCCTTCTCTGGACACCTTCCAATTGCTGAGGTTTTTTTGAGGAGTCACAGCTCTCTCCTTAGGTCCCAGGGCTTGCAGAAGTTGTTGGTGTCTGCCCTTGGAAGCCAGAGCTAAAGTCTCAGCTCTGTGGTAGTGGGAGGGATGCTGGAGGAATGTGTTTGCCATCTGGTTCTGGTCAGACCTAAAACACAGAGCATATTTGTTCTCCCTTGGTGATGTATCACACTCCACATCATAGTGTCAGAGCCCAAAGGATTGATTATTTTCATCCATAAGGTCATATAAACACATCACATAAACCGGCCTGCCCTCTGACTTCATTCCAGCCTTAAAAGCATCAAGTGGGGCAACAACCCACTTGCCATGGGGAGCTGCAGCAAGGTTGGGGATGGACAGACTCCCTACCCAAAAAAAAGCCCTGCCAGGACCACAAAACCTTCCTGGTTGATTCATCATTGATGCTGCTACGATGAGTCCTTGCCCAGTATGTAGGCTGAGCTTGTAAGAGGAGAGAAACAGTTCACCCAAATGCTGCTCATCACCTGCATCCAGCAGCCTCATTTCTTCTGCGAGACAAATGGAGCATTCACTGTTTAGGGACAGCTTTGTGTGTCTCTGCTAGGGAAGTGTTCTAACTCACAGCAACAGGCCGCATAAATCAGAGCCGGAGCTGCAGCCAAATGATGCAATTAGAGGTCTTGCTGTCAACAAACAATCATGTAAATTTGTTCTCTCTGATAGGAATCAAGGAGGAGACATGACTAAGCATGTAATAGCAGGGGGTTGGGAGAAGAAGAAGTTGCCCGAAGCTTCCTAATGAGGGAAAAGTTATTGCAAAATGAAAACAATGAAAAGGTGAAGATTTGTGGGTGCCTCTCCAGGAAGTGATGAGGCCAGGTGGTACCTGAGCAGGGCTCCAGTATGAGGTTTAGGTAGCTCAGTCCCTCCTCTGTAGGCATGTTTTCCCAGCAGCACGAGTCACAGAATGGTTTGTGTTGGAAGGAACCTTAAACCTCATCTCATTCTCACAGCTCACCTATGTTTCTGTGACACCTCTCTTTAGAGCAGAAGGTGATGGGGATTTTTGGTCCCAAATTTTTGGCCTCAGTGCTAAAAGGCACAGCAATCTATTGCATCCACAGTTCTTGATCACCTTTGCCCACAACCAGACAGTGCAGAGCAGTGGATGGCATCAGTCCTGGTGAAATCTTGCTGGAGGACACCATTCCACTGGGCCTTGGGAGGTGACAGGACATGTTTCTAAAACATCTTGAAATGGGTTTAGAGGTGAACCAAGCCCCCAGCACCCAGCCCAGATGCAGCACCCACCCCAGCACGTTTCAAAGGGCAGACAGGGACCTTCCCATCCCTTTCCATCCCTATCCCTGCAATGGCTCAGCCTCCACTTTGATCTATAGGGTGCCATACACTGCTCTCTCTGCCAAGAGTCCCCTGCACCCTGGGTGGCCCATCTTTCTGGGACATCAGGCACTTCCCTTAGAGCACAGGGTGGGAGCCACAGCCATACTTCAGCAGCTGCTCAGCCCTTAAACATCCCTATAATCTCAGGATTTAGCATCAAAGCAGAAGCTCTTCTAGCAGAGACGTGCAGGGATCAGACTTAAAATAAGTCACCGAAATAGGCTGGGGAAGAGTCTTTGCCAAGTAACATCTGTCTGAGACAGTTAACATTGAGCACAAAAAAAAAACCCAGCCCTTTTGTTTGCTTCTGTTTAATGAGCGAGAGCTCTCAAGGAGCCCAGCGTCTCATTTCACTTTCTCAGCCAGGTCTTGCATAAGCCCATGTACTTACCTGATCTTTTCCTTCTCTTTCAAAACAGGCACGCCAGCCCAGCTGGCCTTTTGCTGACAGCTGTAGTGGCAATTTCCTACACAATCGCCATGCTGTATGAGGGGTGAGTAGCTGTGCAGAACTGGAGAGCTTCTAATTACTTCTGCCAGCTTTAACTCCCGAGGTTTCGGAGAACTGCACAAGTAGAGATGATTTTTTCCAATTAATTCAGTAGAGGAAGAAGGAAAACAGAGGATTGTTTTTCAATTGTTTTGATAATGGGCAGATTCCACTCTGGAACTATTTGCTGAGTTCTAGGAACATTTGTGCATTTGTTTGTTTTTATCAAAATGAGATCTTTTTTCCTTTCGGATGCCTGATTTTGTCTGTAGGAGAACAATGAGGAAGGCAGTGAGACAACTCATTGTGTCCTCTGAAGAGTCCCTACAAGAAGTGCTCGCATTTTGTAGTTCTTTGGATGGGCTTCTCTGATATTTTGCACCACAATAGCCTGGCAGCAGAGAATGGAACAGACTGGAATAATTCCCAGAAGTAGCAGTTGTACTGCAGCAGGGAAAGGTCTTTTGTGTTTGCAAGGGAGGAGAAGATGCAGAGTGGCAAGGTCTGCATGCAGGGGAGTCTGAGTGTGCGCTGAGCCTTGTCCCATGCAGCACAGGGATGGTCCTTGGTGGAAGCAGCTTGCAGCTGCTCCACAATCCAGAGAGACTGAGATGAGGATTGCCATGGCACAGGAATAGTCAGGCTGTGCCAACCTGTGAAGGACAGAGTTTCTGGGTGCACAGTAATCTTGATTTTAATTCTTCCTCCCTTCTTTTGCCCCTCTCTTTTGTCTCTGTCCCCTCTCTCCCCAAATTCCCGTCCTCCTAACCACAGGCCTTTCACAGAGGAAATCTACCGGCAGAAACAGAAGGGAGTGAAGAACAAGTAGCCACAGGTACGTTTGCTGATCGGCAGTTTCAGCTGCTTTGCCAGGCTCCCCCACCTACGAGCACCCCTGCCCAGCCCTGCCTTCCCTGGCTCCTCCAGAGCCCTTCCCACACTCCTCAAGGCTTATGAGCTTCAAACCTCTGCAAAAACCCAGGCAGGAAGGCTTTTCACAGCAGCAGCTTTGTCCGCCTCCTGGCACCCGACCAGCAGCCCCCAAATTGTTTTGATTATACACTTGAGAATCAGTGCGAGGCAAAATTGCTGGGAAGCTTTGAAGCTCCAGGCTTAGTCTGAATCAGGCAGAAAAAAAGCAGCTATTGGCCATGGCAGGTGCTCCAGTGAGCGGCAGGGATGGTGTGAGAGGGCACGTGTTCCCTTAGGGAAATCAGGCGTCCCTGCTCCGACTGCTCCTTGTCTGAGCCGGGAGCACTTCTGCCCATGGGCTTACCCTAAAAACTCAGCCCAGGCTTGTTTTGGGGGCCAAAGGCTTCTGCAAAAGCACAAGTTCCTGGCCAGGCTCCTTTCCCTGGGGTTCAGTGCCACCCTGGAACCCCCAGTGCATCTGCCCACTGGTGGTTGGAGAGTTGAGACAAACCCACGGCACTGATGAGGTTTTGGCAGCCCCATAACTGCTGCTCTGATGGAAATGCTGTGGCACCACTGAGGTCCCTAATGGACTCCTGTCCCTTTGCCTTTTGCAGAGCACTGTCTCAGGTACCTCGTGCCTCTCTGGTCCCCACACTGTCAGATTTCCCTGTTTCCTACTGAGATGTATCCTACTAATTAGCCCAGCAAACCTTTAATGAGCTGACCGAGCTCCCTGCAGCACTGGAAGTGATCAGAGGAACAGCCCGAGCGTGGTGGCATCTCCTCACCACAGCCCATGGGAGATGGAGGTCCCTGTCCCCAGGTCTCTGTCCCCAACTCCGGGTCACTGCAGCTCCTGATGCTCTCACAGGAATTACACAATGCGGGACCTCCTGACCTCTTCTCCCCCAGTGATTATTGGAGATCTTCAGGGGAAAAAGCAATTCTCTCTGGACTGGAGGGGCATTTCACAAGTGAGCTCTGAGCATGGGGAAGCACTGGCTCCAGCTGTTCCTGAAGATCATCTGAAGATGCTGCCAAAGAGCCATGGGAAGCAAACAAAAGCTCAGATGAAGCAACAGAGAGGGTTCAGGAGCCCCTGAGGATTCAAACAGAGCTGGGGAAGGTAGAGGGGAAACTGCTGCAAACTCAAACAACAGTAAAACATGCTGCAAACCCAACAACAAACCCCCTCTTTGTCGGAAGAAGGAACCTCCCCATCCAGAACTGCAGTTTCCACTTTGCAGAGGTCTCCCTTCACAGAGAGCCCTGCAGTGTCTCTGCACAATTGCAAATATTCAAAGAAAGGTGACTGAAAAGCACAGAGATGTGAATGTATGACCCAAACCACTGCCCAAGGGGGGTGGAGGGACGGCAGCTGTCCCATGGGGAAACCCTAGCATGGAGAAGACCCAGGGAAGAGTCAGTCCCTGTCTGCACCCTGCAGATGTCTCACCCTGTTGATGCCCCAGCCCCCTCCACACCCACCCAGTCCCTCCTTTTCCCTTATGGGCCACATGAGGGTCCTTCTGCTTTCCCCAGCACCCAGTGCCTTCCAGCTGTTTTTCACTGCCTTGCAGGGACAGTGGGTGGGAGGGAGAGAAATGGCTGCTTCTGCCTTCCACACCATGCAGCAGCCAGGTACAGATCTGCCCCTCCGCCCCCTGCCACCAGCCTCAACAAGTCCCAGAATTGCCCAGTGCTGGATCCTGCCTTGAACAGAAAGACTTCAGAGGTGATGCTCCAGAGCCAGGCTCTGTGTTTACAGATTCCCAGAACAGTTTGAGAAATAAACTGTAAATGACCAAACAAGCAGCAATGGCGTTGGAGAAGGAGCTGCTCCCGCACGGGCACCGGGATGTGGTGCCACATCTCAGCATCACAAAATCCCCTCCATGGAGGGTCCTCCCTCTTCCCAGTGTCACCTCCACCAAACGGTTCCATTTCCTTTTGCTTTTGCATGTTGTAATTCACCCTCCAGGCATTGCTCAGCAGGAATTAAAAGTGTTGGTCTCTTTTCAATCCGGCCTCCCATTTCCTCTGGACAGGCTCACGGACGCCTTGTTTGTGTTTCATCATTTTAGGGCCATTACACATAGATTTATTTTTTTATTGCCACCTCAACAACCTTCCTCTTAAAGATTTGGGCATAGTATTTTATTTTTAGATAAGTTTCCACATCCCCTTCACAGTTAATGTTTATAGACAGAGGCTAAACCAGCCCAGTACCCATAGCAACCAGTGAGGAGAGGATACATTGCATTATTCAGACAATTTATGTCAGAGTTGCCAGTCCTGGCTCAAAGTCTCTGATGTCAATAAACTTGGATTTGTTGATAAGTGTAATCAGTATTTACCGGAGAGACACGTGCTGGGTCGGGAAGAATTATCCTTCATGAGAAGACAGCGAGGGCCGTATTTGTGCTGCCTCATTCCCCGTCTGGGGACCTTGTGCGCCCTTTCCTGTCCCCACTGCAAGGCCAAGGGGGGACCCCAGTTGTACCACTCCCCTCCCCAGCCAGCATCAGCCTCTTAAAATGTGTGTCTGTCACCATAAATCCCAGCGATGGAGCTGCTTCCCATCCTGTGCCCACAGCATCCCAAAAGCACAGGGGTTTGGTGCTGCACCGGGACCGGCTTCACGGACTCCTTTCCCGTTGATCTGCCATTTCCAACCCTTCCCACTTCCCAGCTGTTCTGTGTTGGCTTTGCATTGCACAAGTGTTTTTCTGGGGTTATGCCAGATGCATCCCTGCTTTTAGTAGCTCTTCCTGCAGCAGCCAGCACGGATTAATGTGTCGCTGCCTTTGTAGAACTGGTTCTGGCTGCCATAAAGCTGGAGTCTGATATTTTAGAGGCATCTGCTCTCTTCCCTAAAGCAATCTGAGGAGCTGGAAGGTGATGTTCCAGCCCATATCACGGGGCCCAAGCCCACCTTTCTCCCTTGGGCAGGGAATGGCCCTGGCCAGGACCAGTCCTGGGTGGTGCCGTGCTGGTCCCCAGGGCTGCAAGGAGGGAAACACAGACATCGTTTATGCTGTTTTATGGTATTTAACAACAAGAGTTATAGGACTCTCTTTGGTTATAGGGAAAAAATTGTGATTCCAATTACCTAATATTTCTAAGAATTTGAGATTCCAGAGGGAGGGGATGAAACCTTCAGGCTGAGCATGAAGCATTGGTATTGTCGCAGATGTTTCCCCACTTCCCAGCTGCAGCTGGGGCATATTCTACATTGATGCAGGGATGGACCTTGGGGCCTCCAGGTCACAATATGAGTCCTGCTGCTTCCAAAGGAGAGACCTGCACTGTGGGACCCCCAGGACCAGCCAGTTGCAGCCTCAGCTCTGTGCTGGCACAGGCGGGTGCATCGCTCCAGCTCTTGCAGAAGCATCGAGGACCAAATGAGGTCCCTGGAAAGGGGGTCATGGAGCTATTTTCATAACTTCATGCCTTCAAAATACAGTGTGGGGCTTGCTGGGCCCACTGGAGGTTGGCAAGGGGGTTGTTTGCAGCCTTGGGAATTGCTTCACATGAGGCTGTGTGCTGACGCCACAGATAACGCTTCCATTGAAGTTTGGGATATTTCTGCAGAGCAAACACCAGAAAAGGAGAAACTAGTTAAATCACAACTACCTGGCAGGGACAGCTGTGTCACCAAGGTCATTGCTCTTCACTGCCTCAGGTCACTCTGTGTCACTGCACAGCCCCCACAGCAACTGTGCCCACCCTCGTGGAGGTTTCCTCCCCAGGGTCACTTGTGTGGCTCCTCCACACACATCTCCCTTCCACAAAACAATTTTTTGGGGATGAGAAGATCACCTGTACAAACCCAAACATCCCAGCAATGCAGGGCCAGCTCCACACTCATGGGATGGTTCATCCAGGAACACTTTGGGAGATGGAGCCTGCATCCTGTGGTCCTTTCCCTGATGGTGGTGACATCCAGGGCCAGGGACACTTTTCCAAAGGCCCCTCCCTCTGTTGTGACCGCCCATAACCCCGTGTTTGCTTTTGCCCAGTGAAGCTGGGCTGCCTTGCCCCGGGGGAGGGACAGCCAGGGGCCCTTACGTGGCAAACAACCACGGGAATAAACACGTGGCGCAATCGGGGCAGCACGTGTGGCAGGATAGGGAGTTCGCCATCCCCACAGGGCTCCTGCTTGCTGAGGCTGCACTTTTGCTATTTGGGAAGATGGAAGGGAAGGAAATGGGGGTCTCAGGGCTCTGGTGGTGGCTCTCACACCCATCCCAGTGCTGAGGCTCAACCTCGGCTTTTTTGCCCACGGTTGGGATTTGATGTAAAAGCAAAGATGAGCTTGGAGTACAGGTGGTACAGGAACAGTTCGGGCACTTAATCCCTTAATCCAGAGAAGGTGGACAGGGGACACAATTGGACTTACATTTACAGGGGAATATCCAGCCTCTTCTATCCCCACTTACAGGGAAAACAATCTAGGCTTTAAATGGTCACAAAGAAATGCAATGGGAAGAACAGCCTGGTGGGAAACTATTCCCAGGTGGGAATCTGTTTCTGAATGGGAAACATCCAGAGCTGGAGCCCAAACAAATGTCTGGGGCAGAACCAGGATCCCGGGGCAGAACCAGGATCCCGGGGCAGAGCCGTATAGGCAGTGCTGGGAGGCTTCTGCTCAGGGATCTGGGATACAGGTAGTTCCCAACTCATGGGTGCCCAGGGGATGCTTTGAAATTCCCCACAGTGCCAGGAGAGCAGCAGCACCCCATGCCCACTGTCCCCCTGCCCATGGCATCACCCTGCCAGGGACAGTGTGAAGAAGACACCATCCAGCCCATCCCAGCCCACCTCCACCCTCACCCCGGGGGCTGTTACGCACAGAGCTCCCGCCATGAGCCAGAGGACAAGTTACGAGGCTGTTTTCCTTAATCTTCACGCTCAACAGCGGCCCCGGGACAGCCCGGTGAGCTGGACACACTGTGCCACATCCTCCTTGGATCCTATTTCAAAGGAAAAAATGGTAGGAATGTGCTGCTTTTTCCATGTTGCGTTGTCTTCGGAGAGGAGATGTTTACGGAGCATGGCTCCTTTCCCAACCAGGGTCGCAGGAGGTCGCAGCGCTGCCAGAGCCCCGGGAAGATGTCGAGGCCAGGCTCTGCCTGTGGTTCTGTGCTGCTGCACCAGGGCTGGAAGCCTCAAGGGTCCTCTATTTGGGCACCAGCTCAACCCTTGCCCAGCCCAATCCCCCCAACACCTCCACCCCTGTGCCTGCAGCCCCTCTGGATCCACAGCCGGAGCAGCAGCAGCAGACGTGGGACCTGGACAGAAAACACCTCCAGGCTCCAAGCCCTCAGCACCACTACCCATCCCTCTGTCAGCTCTAGCCCAGTGATGCCTGCCTGGCTCCCTGCCTCCTCTTGGGCTTTAGTTTTTGTCCTACAACCCTGGCAGCCATCACTATTTCCATGGGAACCTTCCTGAAATCCAGCAATGTGTCCACTGGGGTCACCGAGCCTCCCTCTCCCCTGTGCCTTATATTCCAAGCCCAGTTTCTGCCCATCTCCAGTTACAGGTGACATTTCTCTCTAATCCCAGGGAAGCTGCTGCTCTTTGGAAAGGAGCAGAAAGTGCCAGAGTTTGGGAACACATCCAGGACACGCAGACACCTTTGTCCATGCAGGATGCTGGCAGGATGCTGCTGCATCCAAGTGAACTGTGGGCAAGAGGATGGCATGGAGGATGGAAACTGGGAGCAGGGGATTTCCAGGGTGCTCCTGGCTCAGAGCTGCATCATGCTGGACACAGGGATGGTGTCTCTGAGGGAGCTCTTGCCACCCCTTGTCTGAATGACTCAAGGAGCTGAGGATTTGAGACATGTCTCGGGCTTTTCAAATTCTCTATTAATCAAATCCCAAAAGCTAAAAGTAATCAAGAGACATGAAAAGTGTTGCTAAAGAAGCAGAGAGGGGGGGAAGGAAACAAATAAAGCCACCCCCCTGGTCCCCAGTGACAGAGCAGCCCACTTCTGCATCATATCTCATCTGGGAAAAATTATATGTTGGGAATTACGTGCTTCTTCTGAAAAGCCTTAAAGGAGATTTAATAAAATGAGACAAGCTAATAATATAGGGAATTAATAGCAACCCTGGATGCTGCATCTTGATTTAATCAGATGCTTTTCCCCAGGGGGACAAGCAAAAGCTATGGCTAAAGCCTCCCTTCTCTTCCCTCTTCCCAGCTGCTCCCCTCTTTCTCTGGCTATCCACTCCTTCTCCTATCCCAGGAGAACAGCAAGGGTAGGATTTGGGGTCCCACAAGACCCCGCTGTCCACCAGCAGCTGCTGGGAAACACAGCCCATGCTGGTTCTTTGGGAGCAGGATAAGGAGACAGATGCCAGCCTGCTGCACACCCACCAGGGAGAGGGTCCCTGTCTGAAGAACAGGTCCCTGTGCTGGGGAAGAAAAGCAGGAACTGGGGAGCTGGGCTTGGGAGTGGACTTGGTTCCATGTGTGTACTTTCTCAGGAGCCAGGGAATGCCGCACGCTGCTGCGTCAGGAATGAGCCTTTGCTGGGACATGAAGCACCTTAACAGTGATGATAAGGAACTCCTGTGGGATTTGCTCCTCTCCGTGGCCCCAGAGAGTTACGGGGTCTACATGAGCTGAGTGGGAACGGCACAAACAGCCCTTCCAGTCTTGGCTGTTTCACTGCTTGGATCCACAGGACCCATCCGTGAACTGAGCCAGCCCAGCCCCGGGGGGACAATCCTTCCTGGCTCTGCAGCACACTCGGAAACCAAACTCATGTTCCGATGTAATTGTCCTTTTCCGAGTATCCTCCACTCGCCTGTCCCTGTGCTGGGCACCCTGGTGCTGCTCCTGCCTCCTGGAACATTTTGCTTCCTATATTTTAGCTGTGGCTGGTGCTGTGAGCTCTGTTTTGCTTCTGCACAGTTCGTCCAAGCCAGGCCCTGGGGACCCACATGTTCTGTCGCTGGGATGTTTGTGTGACTTTCGTGGAATTTCCCTTCCTCAGCCACTTGCTC